TTATGAGAGAAAAGATTGTGTCTTTTCACCTTTCATGCTCTTGAGAAGCCCATGTTCCCTTCGGTAATAAAATAGAGGCGTCTTCCAAATTTGACTCTACTTTCATAGATTGTATCCAGTTCTCAAGTCCCTAACCAGCTGATGATACACAATACAACAGCTTCTACCACCTGGGCAATCTGACAGGAAGGATGCAACCCAACCCTAGAACCCAAAGAGACGGCCAGATTTTGCACTGGCTGAGAGATGCTGAGCTGTGAGGAGACGGGCAGCCAAACGACACCAGTCCACTCAGAAGTCTACAAAGCAGCAAAGCAGAGGACATTCCGCCGATAAGGCAAGGCAGCTTTCCTACTGCACATGTACCCTTCACTCTGGCCCCGTCCAATAATAAGACTTTGAATTTGTTGAACTCTAACACCTAAGAAAACCAAAAAGATTTCAAATCCTCTTCAGGGGAAATTCAAAAAACCTGCTTACAACTGCCAAGATAAAACCTACCTGCACTTATATTACCTTCCTAAGCCAAGTCGGGAGAAAGCAGCGCTGGGCCACTCTTCTCACGGGAGTCATCTGAAAACGTCTAAAGCATGGCAGGAAATAAGCAGGCACAAACTAAGGCAGCCCAACACCACTCTAGACAGTGGCAGGTTGGCACCAGCTCTGCCAACCACCACCACCACCACCACCACCACCAAAATGCTAAACCAGCCAGGGGCAGCTAATCCTGAATTTCCTTCAAATTGTAAAAACTGCAAAATACGAAAAGCTGTCTGCTGTGCCAACAGAAAGGCAAATCTCACTGTGAACCAGAATGCTGGAATAGCTTTAGCATTCATCCATACTTCTTAACAAAACATGCAACACGGCGCACATAACAGGTAGTAAGCCAAGAGGAAACTCCAACATGAATCCAAAGCGCCACCGATCCAGACTGACTTTACATCATCAATCTTATGGAACACACCTGTTTGTTCCTTGAATCTAAACACCCCATTTTGTTCCTTGGAGATCCTATCCACCATTAAGACTGTTATTTGTGGTAAGATACAGTGTTAAGGGGGAAAAAAAAGGTGGGCGTAGAGGAAAGAGGAAGAAAAACAAGCCATTACAGGATGTTGACAAGTCTGACTACTCAAGTCTCCAGACTACCTCCGTCAGCACATACACCAGATACCACTAACTATACCACGTTCCTCCTCTGCCTTTCGCTTTTAACCTTCTCAACCGTCAGGAGTGCACTGTAATAAGACAGAATTTTTCTCATCTCAAGCCACCTTAGAAGAAAACTCAATGCACATTTTCCGGCCCCAATGAATGCCAATTCAGTTGCCCTTCTGGTTCATCCACACGTTGAACAGATTTGAGGGCTTCCATGAGTTGTGACACAAAGATAGCTAAGAATAGAGTAAGGGGGTAACTGAAATTCTGGTAACATGCTTCGGGTGCCTTATTTCTAGAGCTATTCATATCTGACCACAATTCACCAGACATTTCCAAGCCCACAAAAGTCTTTCACAGAACTCATACTGTGGGGTAAGCACCATGGTCTAGTGGGGAAGGCCAGATGAAGCTGCACCTGCAGTACCGGCATCCCATTTGGGTGCTAGTTGGAATCACAGCTGCTCCACTTCTGATGCAGCTCCCTGCTAATCTGCCTGGGAGGGCAGGGCAGCAGAGGATGGACCAAGTCCAAGGGCCCCTGCACTCCACCTGGGAGACCAGGAGGGGGCTCCTGGCTCACAGCTTCAGCCCAGCCACCCTTGCCACCATGTGGGGAGTGAGCCAGTGGATGGAAAACCTTTCTCTGTCTCAAGAAAATAAATACATCTTTAAAAATAGAACTCTACTGGGTCCTTAATCTCCTTCATTTCTTTTAAGGACTTGTTTTACTTCACTTTATCATTTCGTCCTTCTATAATTATTTCTAACACACTTGAGAACTGTTTTAACTGGCCCTCACAAACGGAATGTAAACGCTATCACTGTTCACTCCACAAGCCAAAGTAAATTCAGCCAAGGCAATATTCTGTCGACTCCGTTTGCCTGCGCTCCCTGTGCCTGGCAGCTGGAGCTACTTAACAATGGGGAAACAATGAAACCCTGCCACAGAACTCATGTGCAGGCTCCAAACTTCAGCACTCAGAAAAGTGCTGAAAAGTACATCACTTGCTAAAACTTGAGAACCTTCTAGTTACTTGTTTCAACAATTTAACCTACAACAGAAGACGGACAAATCTCTTTAAGAGGCCTACAAGAGTTTTGACATCAAAACTGTAAGATAAGAGACTTTATCCTAAATCGCATAACAGCACTGAAAACCAAAGCCTTTTAGAAGAAGCCCCAGAGCCTAAATTACAAACTAGATGGCATGACTTTTCAAAGTAATGCAAACTGCCACCAAACTGTTCAAAATTTTTGCATAATTATAGTAACCACGGCATTTTATGAGTGTTAATTTCATTTCTCGATTATTCTAAGCAGGCCACATGAGACAGAGGAAGCTATAACTGAAAAGTACGACCTTTGAATTTTAGAAACTTTATTTGAAAGGCAGATTTTGAGAGAAAGAGGAGAAAGATCTTCCATCTGCTGATTCACTGCCCCAATGGCCCCAATGGCTAAAGCTGAGCTGAGCCAAGCCACATTTAGACGATTTGCAGCCAGGAGCTTCTTCTGGATCCCCAACATGGATGCAGGGGCCCAAGGACTTGAGCCATCCTCTGCCGCTTTGCCCAGGCACATTAGCAGACAGCTGGATCACAAGTGGAGGAACTAGGAACTCTGATTGGCACCCAAATGGAATGCCAGTGGTGCAGGTGGAGGCTCAGCTTGCTACACCACTGCCTCTGACTTTGGTAACTTTCACTTACTAGAGAACTACGTGTTAAGGAAAATTCGACTTTGTCAATGCCAAGTTTCCATTTTCAGACCATAATGCTACTTCAACCTACAGGTTTACTATTCTCCCATTTTAATTCTCACAAACTTACTGTATTTGATTGCTTACCAATCTGCAGGTCTACTACAGTCAAATCTCATCTTGCTAAGGGTTGAGGTGGCATCTCCATCTGGGAACATTCCCGACTCCATGACTAACAGTGCTCAGGGAGCAGGCCTTGTGGCTCAGCAGCCAACCCTACTGAGAAGCACACATCCCCTGCCAGACTGCCTGGCTCAAGCCTTAGGGAAGCTGCACTCCAAACCATCTCCCTGCTCATGCATCTAGTGAGCCAACTATGATATCCTCAGAGCTTGTGCACTCCGCCACCCACCCGAGGCAGAGCTCCTGGCCGCTGTCTTTATCTGGTCCAGCCCTGGATGCTGCCAATGGTCGGTGGAAGGAACCAGCAGGTGCAAGATCTTTCACAGAACTGACTGTCACGAGTTATCACCGTGCTGGCTAATTCCTCTGCCACCAGCCTGAGTGACACTTGTGTAAGCACAGATCTGGCCTGCCCTAGGGCACACCAAGGTATTATTAAAGGAATCTTCTTAAGGCAAACGAGGGACAGATCTGGACAGCAACAGCCTTCTCTTCCAGGCCTCTCCTGCCAGTTGGGGAGCCGGGATGAGATAACTTCAGTTTCCAAGCAGTGCTGTCAACACTTTGCATGTTATTGACTGTACAAATGAGAATGCGCAGAGAAGTCTAACACACAACACTCTATTTGCCACACACTATTACACAAAGAGGTGAAAACACAGTTTATTCATTAGTCACAGCGTGACCTATGGAAGATTCCTTGGGACAAGTTCCCACTGAGTGACCTTCCCAGGAAAACCGCTAAATGCCTTCACTGTCTACAGACTTCATTCCCTACGTTTAGACAACTTGATGAGCGTCCTGGGATAAGAATGATTGATCCCTCTCGGGCGTATTTAACAATTTCCAAGGCAAAGGTAGGGAGCTGGCTAAGGAACACTCGTTAACAAAACGCATGAAAAGAAAAAAAACATTTTTTTGTTTCGAGTCGAAGAAAGCTGAAAAATTATCCCGCCTAAAATCACCCTCCTTTGCCGGTCACGGAGAAGAAAAAAAAAAAGCTTAGAAAACTCTAAGAAGCAAAATGTGTAACACCTCCACGTCCTTTTTGAGTCACCACCTGGGCAGGGAAAAAGACAGTCCCAACCGCGGGCCACATGGACTCCACACGAAGGCAGGAAGTTGACTTCCTGGGCTAGGGCCACCCGTCCATCAATCACCCCAGGGGGCAGGCTCTGCAGAGCCCACCCACCCGGCCCCGCCCTTCTAATCCGAAGCCCACCGCAGGCTGGAGAGGGGTGGCAGGTCTCTCTGTGTGCTCGGCCTGCAGGGAGCAGCAGGAGAGCCCGTTTAGTGCCTCCAGAGGGGGTGGACGAGGCAGCCAACGGCGAAACGCGCCTCGGCCGCGCAGGCGGGCAAGCGGCTCGTCCACGCGGCCGCACAAGTCGCGGAACAAAGCAGCCGCGCGCACCGGCCGGGGAGCCTCGGAGACGGGGAAAGGGGGTCACGCCGGGACTTCTCCCCTGCCTCGGGCCAGAGACAGGTGGAGCCGCGGTCCTCTTTAGAAGGATGTGGGAGAGATGGGGTTTGCCGGGAGGAAGATCTGAAGCCTGGCACCCAGGCGCCTGCAAATTAGAACGCCGGGGACCCCAGCGGAGCCGAGCGCAGCGGCTAGAGGAAGGAACCGTCGGGGAGAGGGAGGAGGAGGAGGATGCCTGGGGGTGTTCCAGGAGGTCCCTGCCAAGCGGACGGGGGTCCCGCCCGAGCCTCTCCGAGGATGCCCCCGGCCAAGATGCCCCGGCGCGCAGCCAGCCGCCCCAACTCGGGCCTCCCGGCGCCGCCGCACAAAGGGGAGGTGGAGGGCGCCGGGCCGAGGGGGCCGAACCGCGCCGCTCGCCGCGCCCCGCCTTTGTGCGCCCTGCTCCGCGCCCTGCTCCACCTCCCCAAGAAGCTTCCCCCCAGGCCGAGGACCAGGAGCCCCCGCCGCCCGCGGCGCCCTCACCCTGCTCGTTACCCGCGTGAGTAGCGGTCTCATCTGCTCGCCGGTCCCATCCGCCTCCATGGTGGCCGGCCGGCCCGGCAGCGCGGCCGCTGACGGTAGTGAGGCGCGTTCCGCCCCGCCGCTCGCCGCTGCTGCTGCTGCTGGAGACCCCGGCGCGCGGGACCAGACGAACGTGCGCCCCTGCTCGAGCGGCGCGCACCCCACGCGCGCGCGTCTGGGGGGAAAGAGAGCCGAGGCTCCGGAGAGAACGGGGTACGGACGCGGGGCGCGCGTGTGCGCCCGGCCGGGGGGGGCCTCGGGGCGCCGGCGCCGAGTGCGCAGCGAGGCCGCGGCGTGGAGCGTGCAACCGGGAGTGAGCGAGCCGGGAGCAGCGCGCCGCGAGGTGGCGAGAGCCGCGTAGGGCCCGGGGGCGGGGCCGCCTGTGCTGACGCGCGCGGCGCCCGGGCCCGGCCCCGCCCCCGGCCGCGGAGCCACGCCCCCTGCCAGTTTGGCACCACCAAGCCGCCTCAGCGCGAGGCCGCCCGGAGACGGGGCGGGAGAGAGACCTGGACGGACGTTTGCGCCAGCCAATGGGCGACTCGCGAGGGGGGTGGGCGTGTCCTTCCCCTCGCCACCTCCTCAGGAGGTCCCGCCCCTCTTTGTGGAAGCCTAATGGACCGACACTGAGACAGTCTGACTCGTTTTTTTTTGTTTGTTTTTGTTTTTTGTTTTTTGTTTTGTTTTCGGGTGGGCGGTTTCTCTGCTGTTCGGAAGTCGGAGGAGGTAGGGGTGGCCAGGAGACGGCTTCGGGTCGCGTGCTTTAACCAGACCGAGGGTGGGCGGGAGGATGCCGCCCTTCCCAGGAACTAACTAACTAACGGGTCTTGGTTTCCCTTACAAGTTTCTCTATAGGCGTGAGAAACAGCGGGTACACCTGGCCAGGTTCCCGCGCGAGCTTGCCCTGCTCCCCGGGCACCTCCGCAGCTCCCGCACTTTGGGGTGCAGCCTGGAAGGGCCCTCTCAGATTTCTGTAGGGATCACTAGAAACGAGGGTGGCACTTGCCACGCAGGAAGAATGAAGTGGATCTCCACCCATAAGCCCGGCTGGCACCTCGCATGCCTATCTGTGTCTTCAGCTTTGTTGACACGGTTCTCTCCAGAGTTGAGTAAAGATTTATACTGGAAAGACCTGAGCCCTTACCGAGGAAAGGCACATGACACACGCAGCAGCAGTCCCGGCACTCGCATCTTGCTGGTCTCCAAGCAGCTGTTAAGTAGAGCCCTGTGTTATTTCCACAAGTAGCTAAGCATGCCGGCTTACCCTGTTCCTCCTTTGGATCCTTTGGCGGGAGGGGGTAAGATTTGGTTTTATTTTTATTAGAAAGTCAGATATACAGAGAGGAGGAGAGACAGAAAGAAAGATCTTCCGTTCCCCAAGTGGCTGCAACAGCTAGAGCTGAGCCATTCCAAAGCCCGAGTGTCTAATGGACTTCCCTCGCAGGTGCAGGGTCATCCTCGACTGCTTTCCCAGGCCACAAACAGGGGGCTGGATGGGAAGCGGGGCCACTGGGACATAAAATGGAGTCCATACGGGATCCCGGTGCTTGCAAGGTGAGGGCTTTAGCCCCTAGGCTACCGCACCGGGTCCCTGATCCGCTTTTGTTCTAAATATCCCAGAGTTAGTTTTCCCACTGGCACATACTGTTCTCTTGTACAAGAGCAGATGTGCTTCTGTTAATAACAGCTACTCTCGCCGAAATGTCTACAATTAGAGACCCATGACATCTTACAAACGTTGCATTGTAACCCACATACAAAGCATGTGGGCTGGCACTATGGTTCAAATGGCTAATCCTCCACCTCTAAACGCCATTATCCCTTATGAGTGATGGTTCGTGTCCCGAGTGCTGTACTTCCCATCTAGCTCCCTGCTTTTGGCCTGGGAAAGCAACGCGGAACGACCCAAAACCTTGGGACTCTACTCCCGTGGAAGAACTGGAGGAGGCTCAGCTCTGGCTATTGTAGCCATTTCGGAAGTGAACCAGCAGGTGGAAGATCTCTTTCTCTCCTCCTCTGTATATCTATCTGTCTTTCCAATGGAAACATATATTTTTCAAAAGGTTTGTCTGACATGACTTGAATATATTCTCCAAATGTGTGCTCTGGTGCAATTGTGGTGTGTTTAGTTCATGAAGACTTCATCCTCATGAACAGATTAATACAGATGACGAGAGAGAATACAAGATTTATTTATCAGTTCCCCAGGCTGTGATTGTCTGGCATAGCAATGGGAAGGCAATTGAGACAGTGTTATATACGGGTGTATTACAAATGACACGGTGCACAGAAATGATGTCTGAACGCAGCTGCTACTTCTATCACGAAATTCAAATCCTTACTGAAGTTAAAAAGAGAGAGAAAAAGAAAAGATGAAGCCAGAATGAAAAAAATATATATGTATATATGTATATATATGTATCTCCTAAAGCTGTTCAAGGAGTCGGTCATTTGGGCCCCTGCCAGCTTTCTCTAAGGCGATTATAACCTGAAGAATTTGGCTGGGCTACATCGCAGTGCGATGCCCTCTCATCCACTGTAGTTGGTGTGTACAGAACACCTGCCATTGCGCTCTCTTGGTCTTCATTTTCTACATAGCACTTTATCCCCTAGGATATGCCCTACGAGTGGATTTAGTTCTTTGTGGTGACTAGCCTCCGTCCACGCAGACCAGTGTGTGCCCCATTTAACAACCTGTGGCAACAATTTTCTTCCTTTCTTAAAAAGGATTGTTCTTTTTATTTGGAAGGCAGGATTTTGCAGCAAAGCAGAGACAGAGGTCTTCCATCCGCGGGTTCAGCCCCACGTGGCTACGATGATCAGAGCCACACTGACCTAAATCTGGGAGACCAGATGCTTCTTTTTGGTCTCCCACGTGGGTGCAGGGGCTGAGGCTTTCTTAGGACCTAGATTAGAAATGGGGCAGTTGGACACACACGGACACCCGTACGGGTGTTGGCAGCACAGGCCAGCAGCAGCAATTTTCTTGAAAAGTGGGTTACACCGAGAAGCGGAAAGACAGAAAGAGACCTTCCATCCGTTGGCTCACTCTCCAAATGACCAGCAGCTCAATCTACTACCAGTAACTCGGGCATCCCATGATCAGCTTCCAGCTGCTCCACTTCTGATCCAGCTCTCAGCTAAAGCACCTGGGAAAGCAGCAGAGGAGGGTCAAGTGCTTGGGGTGCTGCAGCCCACGTGGGAGACCCTGATGGAATTACATTCTCTTGCTTTCAGCCTTTGCGTGTACGTGTGTGTAACTCTGTCTTTCAAATAAACATAATAGAAAAAAAAACACAAGCAAATGTTTCAAAAGTAGTATCAAGCAGATTACAGATCAAGAACCTTGGTCAGAGTTGAAAGTACAAAAAAAAAAAAAAATTTAAAAAAGCTTCAGGAAAAGCTTAAAAGAGGTCAGCACGATAGCCTAGTAGTTAAATCCTCATCTTGCAACCAATGGGATCCCATATAAGCACAGGTTCATGCCCTGACTGCTCCACTTTCATTCTTGCTCTCTGCCTGTGGCCTGGGAGAGCAGTAGAGGATGGCCCAAAGCCTTGGGACCCTGCACCCATGTGGGAGATCTGGAAGAAGCTCCTGGTTTCAGATCAGCTTAACTCTGGCCATTTTAGCCACCTGGGAAGTGAACCAGCAAACAGAAAATCTTCCTCTCTGTAAATCTGACTTTCCAATAAAAAAAGAGAGAGATCTTAAAAAAAATTGATCTTGCTAAACAATTAGTTTCTCTTCATCTGTCTTTTAAAAAGAGAAAAGTAAAAAGGAACCTTTGGCATATTTCATCCACAAATACATTATGAATGACTTCTATGTTACTATATGCTTCTGTCCTCGCTGCTAGAAGAATAACAGAGTACAGGTCCGAGTTAGTCCATCTCAGGAGCCCTCCTAATTCAGGTTCAGCCCCAAGTTCTTCCTCAGGTGATGACATAGTGAGTAAAGAAGATGGTGTGTTAAAATGGTTTTCATGCAAGTGGAGCTGCTTATAAAATATTCCAATGTACTGAGTGGTAAATTGTTCTCTTAAGCATTTTAAATATTCATGTGAAATGTAGCACAGGGAAACGCTTGATAAACAAAGGCAAACGTGAACTTGGATTCATCACTGTCAGTGAAATGATAGCACCTTGACTTAATGAGTCTTAGCTGTGTCCTAATTTCAGGATACTTCCTGGGTTTCTGGAACATTAGGTAATCCTAGTGGAGACCTGAAGCCATCCCTTTGGCAATATCTTCCTGCTGCTCAAACACTTCTCTGTGAGAAGTAGTATTTGGTTAACGACAAATAGCACCTGCTTTGTCATTGGAAAAATCTGAAGGCCTCCTTCACCTATGGCACAGGATGCTTTGGCAACGAACTGTATCCTCGTTGCCTCTTCTGCGTCATGGCTGAAATTTAAGTATTCCAAATCAACGAACCCATCTCTGAACCCACCGAAGTTTCAGTAATTGAGTCTGTGTAGATGAACAGTAAACAGATTAACAGAAGAAAAACATCGTAATTAATGATGGGACCTTAAAGAGCCAGATGAGTTAGACTTATAAGCTGCATGAAGAGCTGTAGAAAGAAATGGGGGCTAGTGGTTTCTGTAGGGGAGGTGGCAACAAGTGATGGAAGGGTGAAGGGAAGAGGTGTAAAGAGAAGTCAAAGGCTTCTTGTGAAGCAGTGAAACAGCCTCTCAGGAGATGGAGTTTTCCCCTAACAGTGAAGACTAAAGGCAAAGGGTAGCCCATGCCACAACAAAACACCTGGAATGCATATTGATCCAAGTTCCTGAATCAAATTACTGATGCGGATGCAGACACTGGGAGGCACCCATGATGGCTTAAATGACTGGGTTCCTGCTACCCTCGTGGGAAACCTGGATTGAATTCTGGGACCCTCCCTTCCCCTCCCCTAGCTTAACTTCAGCTCAGGCCAGCCCCAGCTGTGGCAAATATTTGAGGAAATGGAACAGCCAGGACACAAATCGTCCCCCATTTAGCTTGCCATCATTGTAGGGGGTAGCCTAAACCACTATACCAAAGGCAAGCCCCTCTCAAATGCATTTAAATGTCCACTCCATAAAATAAAAAAAGTCCTTCAGGTAATAAAATTTTCCTTGGGGGAGCCCACCAGGACAAGGCCTGCCAAAGTCCTTCTGGGTACACCGTACCTACAGTTTATTCTGTATGCATTTAGCTTCCCTAGGTGATAAGATTCCTGTGAGGTGACT